ACCTCTGGATCAGAACCAAAATGAATGGTTTTGTGAAACAATTGTTTGTCAAAGAATTTGTCAATTGATTTGTGAGCCATTAATGTAATCCGTTTTGATTTACTGCTCAACTGATGCAACAAATTATCTTCAATTATATCAAATGGTTTTAATTCAGTGTTTATTTTCAAGAAAGTCTCTAAACTTCCGGTTGTTATCGATTCCAGTGTTTGTGTCTTCGAGAGGACCGGTGTTTGTAAGAGTCGATACACTTTTGACTCATTTTTGTATTTATAATACAAACCATTCATTGAATTTGAATTCAAATCAAGTGTTTTGTCATTTGAATTGAAATCATATGTGAGACCATCGATGAGAAGAACTATAGCCCTATCATATCGGTTGTCAAAACCACATCCAGGAGTACGACCTCTTCCTCCAGAGTCCGATGAAGACAATGAATGGTTGAGCCAATTATCACACGAACTCTTCTTATCGATGGTTTTTCGCGTCAATACAAAACCGCTGGAGAAAAGCCAAACACCTATTGTGTAGACTAAACAGATCCAGACTAAGAGCAATGACGTGTAAAATAGATATAACTTTTGGTTCATCTCTTAGACTATGAAGACAATCACTCAATGAATGTCTCAATTGGTTTCCATTCAATCCTTCAAATGATTGAAAATTGAAAAAACTTTAAAAATCATAATAAAAACAATACTTTTTTTGAAAACATTGCAAACACGTGACAAACATATGACAAACACATGCGCTTTCAGTGCTTCACTGTATTTACAGTTTAACCGGTAATCGACTTAAAGCTTAAAGTTTGTTCAATTGTCACAAAATCATTGATATGTTAATCAACACCTTTATGAGGGTTACTTCGGGAAAGTGTCACCTGTTTTGGTGGACATCAGGAGCCAAATGCAGGGATGTGTTGACGAGTAGAAGATTGTCGTCTTCATCGGTCGAGAATATCGTAAACCGAAAGCAACGCAAAGGGAATACAATGTCCGGCAAAACACATCTGAATATCGGAACCATTGGACACGTGGATCACGGGAAGACCACTTTGACGTCAGCCCTCACCAAAGTGTGTGCCGACAATGGCTTCTCCCGGTATGTGTCCTTCGATGACATCGATAAGGCTCCGGAGGAACAGCTGAGAGGTGTGACAATCAACGCCTCGCACGTGGAATACGCGACCAAAACGAGACATTACGCGCACACCGACTGTCCCGGACATCGCGATTACGTGAAGAACATGATATGCGGCACATCCCAGATGGACGGCGCCATCCTTGTCGTGGCCGGCAGTGAGGGACAGATGCCGCAGACCAGAGAGCATCTTATGCTCAGCAAACAGATCGGAGTCAAGAAAATTGTGGTTTATGTCAACAAATGTGATCTCATCGACAATGAGGTCCAAGAGTTGGTCGAAATGGAAGTGAGAGATCTGTTGAATAATTATGGCTTTGATGGCGACAACACTCCCTTTGTGTTTGGATCAGCCCTTATGGCTCTGAGTGGAAACAAATCGGATTTGGGAGAGAAATCCATTTTAAGTCTTTTGGATACTCTCGACACTTACTTAACGCTTCCGGAAAGGGACACAAAATCTCCTTTTCTGTTACCCATAGAGTCGGCACTTGTCATCACTGGCAGAGGAACTGTATGTATCGGAACTGTGGAAAGAGGGTCTATAAGTAAAGGCGATCCCATTGAGTTATTGGGCTGGGATGAGGTGATTAAAAGTGCCGCAACTGATATACATATGTTTGGTAAGATTCACTACAATCTCATACTTTGCATAAACAGTAATTTACATACAATTCTACTATGAATTAATTGCACCACAATTATAGGTCGTTCTGTTGACAGCTGTGAGGCCGGGGATCACATCGGCTTACTCTGCAGAGGTTTGTTAACCCTTTGGAACCAGTTTTTAATTCTTATAAATGCTTACTGTATGTATGCTAATGAGCCTTTACCGTAGTTTAAATAGTTTACAAACTGTACTCTATATACAGTGCACACAGAATTGATTACAGAATTGATTACAGAATTGATTACAGAATTGATTACAGAATTTACTGTATGTATGCTAATGAGCCTTTACCGTAGTTTAAATAGTTTACAAACTGTACTCTATATACAGTGCACACAGAATTGATTACAGAATTGATTACAGAATTGATTACAGAATTGATTACAGAATTTGAATTATCTTTAAAGGAGTGAAATCTTCTGGAATAAAGATAGAGAGGGGGATGTATGCGAGTAAACCGTCCACTCTGTCACTCAAGAATCGATTTGAAGCCAATTTGTATTTAGTGTCTCCGGGAGAAGGGGGACGACATAAACCCATATCTCAGAAATATATTCAACAAATATTTAGCCGGACGTGGAGTGGAGGCGCTCGGATTGACGTGCCTGACAGTGAAGGCGGGATTCTTATGCCCGGAGATCACGCAAAGATTCACTTAACTCTTCAATACGGAATGCATATGAATATCGGACAGTCTTTCACCATAAGAGAGAGCTCCAAGACAATCGCATCCGGAGTAATTAGCGGCTATTTACCAAATATAGCGGTTCCCAAAAATTTAGGTGTTTTAGAGCTTCCAGAACTCATCAAATCAGACCAAAACAAATAAAATCATTAATTCCCTTATTTAGTCATAAGAAATAAATACCGGTATTTGTGATAAAAAAGTTTATTATAAGTACAGTTCAGTTATACAATTACTTCAGAGGTTTACAAGAACTTGAACTCATTTCCATTAGTTAAATGAATGGACACCTCTATAGCACTGATGTCTCAATTGTTTAATTCTTGGAAATTTCAAAATAAGTCTTCAAAATCACATGAAAATCATTGCAAAAACGAATTGTTTGAAAAGTTAATTTGATTCACATTTATATAGACTTGGATTTAAATAAACATTTATAATGTTTTTAAGATATGAGAGCATTTTCAATAAGACTTTCTTTTAGTGATTTTAGTCCTCAAATCGTTTTTATTAATGAAGACATTTCTGTTGGGTTTCTTAACCACAGAAATGGATGAACGCATCGGTCTTTCTGACCAAATGGTTCGTGAATTGGTTTGACTGTCGAAAGACAATTGCAGTAAATCTGTGTCAACGGCACCGGAGTTGTTGTGCGAGTCATTGTCCAGTCGTTCCCAAATGGACTTCCGTTGGCGTTCCGACACATTAGGGCCGACAGTGGGCTTCCGGTGTGTGAGTCGGTATACGGAATGCATATGAATATCGGACAGTCTTTCACCATAAGAGAGAGCTCCAAGACAATCGCATCCGGAGTAATTAGCGGCTATTTACCAAATATAGCGGTTCCCAAAAATTTAGGTGTTTTAGAGGTTCCAGAACTTATCAAATCAGACCAAAACAAATAAAATCATTAATTTCCTTATTTAGTCATAAGAAATAAATACCGGTATTTGTGATAAAAAAAAGTTTATTATAAGTACAGTTCAGTTATACAATTACTTCAGAGGTTTATAAGAACTTGAGTTGATTTCCATTAGTTAAATGAATGGACACCTCTATAGCACTGATGTCTCAATTGTTTAATTCTTGGAAATTTCAAAATAAATCTTCAAAATGACATGAAAATCATTGCTAAAACAAATTGTTTTAAAAGGTAATTTGATTGACATTTATATAGACTTGGATTTAAATAAACATTTATAATGTTTTTAAGATATGAGAGCATTTTCAATAAGACTTTCTTTTAGTGATTTTAGTCCTCAAATCGTTTTTATTAATGAACACATTTCTGTTGGCTTTCTTAACCACAGAAATGGATGAACGCATCGGTCTTTCTGACCAAATGGTTCGTGAATTGGTTTGACTGTCGAAAGACAGTTGCAGTAAATCTGTGTCAACGGCACCGGAGTTGTTGTGCGAGTCATTGTCCAGTCGTTCCCAAATGGACTTCCGTTGGCGTTCCGACACATTAGGGCCGACAGTGGGCTTCCGGTGTGTGAGTCGGTCGCGAATCAGGTCCTGTTCGTCATCCGCTCTCATTCTCATCCTTAAACGCTTTGTCTTAAACTCCATTTCCGAGTCATTTATCTCTTGTCTATCTTCGATGGGTTCATCTCTAGTGGTGTTTCTGATGGTCTGATGGTTTCGTTTCCTCCGATTCGACCAAATATTGGATCCATTATCTGACGGCACGCCGTGTTTGACGTAATACTCGCTCACATCTCGCGCGCCCGTAATCTTCTTGTCTGAAGTGGTGGCAAATCTGAGGAGAAGTGCTTTTGACTTGTGATGCGCCGCTCCTAACCTCCAGCGAAAGCCGGGCGGAACGGGAACTGATAGGGAGTGGGCGTCCGTCATAGCGATGTCTATATCTGCGATCAAATGCTTTTCGTTGGGCTTAAGAACCAAAGAGTTGGTCAACGAAGTCATGGCAATAGCGCTGGCCTTGGGGTCCGTGAAGACCACATTACACGACAAGTCGTTCACCCATTCGATGGAATTCGGATCAAACGCTTCGAAGTATTTGAGCACATCTTCAGAGCTCATGCCCTCAACACCGCGAATGTGTATTACATCCAAACGCCAAGAAGTGTATCTGCGGTTCACTTGATCCGAGTTGATGTCCAACGACTCATACAATGAAGACAATTGCTCTTCAGATATGTGTCGATCAGTTCGCGAGACACTCGTCTTGAAGACCACACGCGGTTCGCCGGCCGCTGACATGTCATTCGTCACGTCCTGATCCATGTCCTCAATGTCTGGCACATCCTGAAGGAGTTGGAGATCTGAGTCCATGTCTCACTACTTCTTCACGAGAATCAATTCAAATGCAATTAATATTCAATTGATTTCAAGTGAAATACAATTCAATTTCTGTCAACAATTCACACGCATTCACATAAGACGTACACTTTGTTCACACAGACATTGCCCCCAAAAACTTACCCTTTTTTACGGCCCGTAAAATACAAGTCCAAAATAATGCAAACAATTTACTTAAATTTTAATAAAAATTTCTTTTATTTCAATCGATTGTACGGTTTATTCATTAGTCAACTAAACAAAACACATTTGTCTACAAATAAATAGTTTTCTCAAAATAATAAGAAACTTTCAATTATTACCCAAAATATATAATTTAATAGAAAACTCAATAAAATGCGAATAAATTATTGAATGAAATATAGATTTGAAAATCAGATTTAAATTACGATACTGTATAGATTTTAAAACAATTGTCACAATTGTATCAAATATGGGAATCAAAGGTTAACTCAGAAATAGTCACAAATCCGCGAGAAAAAGTGATTTGCGTTGAAATATTGATAGAAAAGTTAAGTTTCATTATTAAGAGCAGAAATATCTTCAGTGCCGTTATCTTCAAGTGTCGGCTCTTTTTTCTCTTTCTTCACATCGAGTTCGCCCTCAACTGCGGACCCATTTTCGGAGTCAAGTCTTCGTTTGCGTTGCTTTTGAGGCAATGGGTCGACGCCTAAGATCTTATAGATCTGACGAAATGCTATGAGCCTTAACGCGTGCTAAACATGTGACACAAACATTACATTCATAATAAGATAACAAATGACTAAATAATCATTTTATACCTGAGCTGATGAAGTGATGTCTTCCCTTTCCTGTCGTGTGAGTGCCGACAGAGCATCGGTGGGATCCTTCTCACAGGGATCCACAAGCCCTGTCCCGCCCGGCAATAGAATACCTGAAGATATAGCTTCAAAAGTATGCCTTAAAGCTTCTCCAGGAGCTAAGGGTTCGCCAGCACTTGATATGACTTTTTCGGAGAGCAATTCAATGGCCTACAAATTGATAGGTATAACCGTAAGAATACCACTGTCTATAGTATTAGCAACGAAGCAATGCCTACTAACCCAAAGGCTCAACTTAGACCAAGTGGGCAGACGTTTACATAAATCCCGAAATATACGAATGATTAGAGGACAGGGCTGTAAGTTGGCAACTCTAGCCTATAAACAATACAAACCATTAGTGTTTAGTTTGACGTATGAAATGGCAGATAATTAAACCGAATATAATATACAGTAATATAATAATAATGCAAATTAGGTTTCAGTTATGTTTAATAGGGTTTTCGGCGCAGTTTTGAACTTTCGACTCTCTTCTCAAAATAAGGGGCTTTTAGAGTCAATACAATTGATTGTAATTATAGTAAAAAATAATTCATTGATTGCTTTCTCTAAAATGAAAGTACTGTCAAAATGCCCCTCATTTAACATAAGATAACTTTCCAGCCTTTAGTCATATGTTTGAAATAAAAACTATAACTATTTATATAATAAAATAATTAATAAAATTACAAATCTAGAGACTATTGCAATGTCTGGTAAATCTGGTAAAAGGCTGAAAAGTGACAAAAGGGAAGTCCAAACCTGAAACCATTTTGCGTGTCGAAGAGCTGCCAGTGCTTCGACACATTTGTAGCGATCGAGCAGTTGTTGGGGCTCTTTAACCATCTCTAACTCTAAACGAAGAGTAAAACACATCATTAAGTGGTCATCACATCTAGAGATGGTCTTAGAGCTGTCGTGAGTCAAGAATAATGAGTCAGTTATTCACTAAACATCACTCCATCGTCACTCATATGTCAGTCCATCAACACCACTGTCCCCTCTGTCCAGCCGTCCCTTCAATTAATAAACATAAACAGAACAACAGTATAACTCGTAATAAATATACGGCCAGACATTTGGGGGACGTTGAGGGGAAAGTGATGAATAGGATCTGTCGATCAGTTGTCAGTTTATCTGCAAATAAATGTGTTTCGCACAGAAGGTATCGGAAGTAAATGAATGGCACCCATAGGCTACCATTCACTCCTCCATTAACATCAGAATAGAATAATATAAAGCATGTAAAAGACCACATGATGTCATACCCGGAGTGGCCACTCCTTCACTGTTCTCCTCTCTGACCAAAGGAGAAGTGAGTGTAACGTTTGCTGTGATTTTCGGCTCATTCCTAGTGCTCACTGAAAGACCTGATTCGTGGGCTTTCATTATAATATCAAACGACTCGGTAGATGAAGCAATCTATCAGTTTATAAACCAATGAGTGTTTGTCCGCAAACTTTAATAACTCGTTAATAACGAGTGGTAACTAACCTGCAGTTGAGACGGAAGTAAATCAACGATTCGCTGTAACAGTGGTTTCGTTGGCTTTTGAGCGCAAATCACCACTAAATCCACGTCTTTATCGCCGGTTAGAAGTAGTCCTTTGGCGAGAGGGCCGACACGCATAAGACCTTTCATAAGACGAAATTGTGATTCTTCTGGTTTAACATCACTTGTGTTCGCATCGGTTGGCGTTTTCTCTTTAGGCGATGGTTCTGATGGAGCGCCAGATTCTGGTATTTGTTCGAACTCTCGCTTTATTATGTCATTCATCGCCAGATTTGCGTCCTCTTCGGTCATCCGATCGGAAACCAGTTTAAGAGCTCTTTCGACACATGAGACCAAGTGATGGATTTCATCCAATTCCTCCTCTTTGGGACAGATTTCTGAATGCTTTTGGAGTATATGGATGTCATCCCATGAACTCGAATTGCTTCCCCTCCTAAA